CAATACTCCGTTATCTATCAAATTCATTCGTAAAAAAATTAGTTTGCCAAACTACGGATATATAGGCCTAGCAATTGGAAGTCATAATTGATAATAAAGTAAGTCATACCATTATGAATATATTGTCATAGCAAACCTTTTCCCTTCGGTATATGAAGTGTAGATTGATAAGTCTTCAAAAAAGTCTACTTTAATGCTTTTAGTAAGCCACAATGAGATTCAGACACGACCTCTAGACAACTGCAAGATAATCAGCTCAGTGTACATTTGACTCTTGACTTTGTACACTAGATTAAGAACTCCATTTAATTCAGGGTGGAGACAGAGTTCAACGTTCATTTGATATGCTATGTCGCTATTACCATGGAATGTCTGAATATTTCCCAATGCAAATAACGAAACTGACAAGCCATGATACATGTAAAAAGAGGACTAGCCGACAGAAGTTCAAATATTGAAAATTGTTCCCTTAGCGACGGCGTCTGCTGTGTAATTTAATTGCTGCAAGGTGAAAGGGTTGGACAATTTGTCCACTCAAGTCAAAGTAGATTAGCATCTTTTGTCTACAATAATGTCTGTTTAAAACAGTGTCACAGAATGAAATAAGAATGAATGTAATAAGAGTTCGCGTAGGGAGTCTCACTTCACCCAAATTAAAAACCGACTTTCAAAGGCGCTTTAAGCCCACGATGCTTAGTAGGTCAACAGGTTTTCTTGCCTAGTTTCCCTTCACCCAAGTTCCCAAAAATCCCTTTATTAAGGAAAAATGGTACCTATGGATGTGAAATAATGGGTAATGGAAATATCGGGTTGTTAGCTGTTTTTATCGGTGAAAATTGTGCTTGATATTCAAAGATTTACATGAGTAAACGACAAGCCCGTCTCTTGGCCATATTTCTTAAAGTTTTTAAAGTTTGATCGTAAATCATTAATGTGGTAACGGAAGACACTAAGTGAGGCTGACAGCATTTTGGACGTGATTTGACTCGACAATTGAGAGAGGTTTGTAATAATACAGTTGAAATAAAAACACTGTATTCACTGATATATGTACCTGTGCCAGCATGTCACCGTTAAGTTAACTGCCACTTACAATCCCTGAGCGGGAACATGTACACGTGGAAGTATGTGACGCTAGCAGCAGTGAAACAGCATTTCTACAACCTGTGTGGAATGCCTATCATACTGATGTTCCATTCCTCTTATTTATACAAAGGGATAGGAGGCAGTCAATGAAAACATTATAAAGAATATCTGATTTTCTTTTAATTAGGAAAACTCCGCTGCACTGTCTCTTGTCACTTGAACTACACCACTCGAATATTTGATGGTATTTTTTTTTAATCTCAAAGCTTACGCAAGTCTTAGCTTCTCTTCCGATGTCATAAATCTCTGATTTTATACAAAGGCCTGTACACAGTTAAGCCATGTACCGCATGCCACAAATGTTGTCAACGACTGCTTTTCGTGTACAACAAATTGACTGCAAATACACTGATTAAAAAGAAATATCGTTTGTAATTACATCGACACCACATTAACGGTTCCGTATACCGGTTTTCTGTCAATAACATGTGAAAAAGACTGATAGTTTACCATTCAATATTACGTGAGTTAACAATCAGACGTCATCAGGGAATAGGGCTTAGATAGACGCTGTAACCGTCCACTTTACCCGTGACGTGATCATTTGTTAGATGCCCCCCCCCCCCCCTGTGTATTTCTTTAATTATTCACCACACCTACACGTCGTAACTCTGTAATATAACGACTTCATAGATATCAGAACGTCAGTGTGAGGGTGATAATAGACACGTGAGATAGGTCGTGAAAGCGGCAAATCAGTCAAATGATATTCCAACTTTGGAGTAGTCAGCTGTTCTTCTAGGAAAAACCAACATACAACCATACATACAACCAATAAGTCTTTCCAAAAGAAAACAATTACTTCACTTCAGTGTGAGGACAAAATCCTGAGATCTAAAGGGATAGTCCAAAATAAAATCCCGTAGTCTAAGAGTATAGACGAACTTTCAGTGTAAGTTACCTTTTGAAAAAAGAACCAGTTTTCTTTCATCGACACCTCATCTACTACGGTCATGCCAGTTGTTTGATCATCACTCCGGTGTGACAGGAATGGTTGTCCTAGGAAAAGAAGTTCGGGTTTCCTTATGATTAGTACAGATTAGGGCTAGTCGGAGTATTGGGGTTAGCGTGTGGGACGAATGCCACCTGTATAAAGTAATGGAGAACGGACTACGGTCCCTAGGGGACTACCATTCCTGTCACAGCGTCATTCTCGGAACTCTCCGCTCTTTCCTGGAACACCCTTTCCATGAAAACACCTCATCATACGCCACCAAAAGGTCAGACAAAACGCCCCGCGCACGTTGTCATGTGAATTAAATTATTAAGGAACGCTTAAGCTTTGTAGAACTTCCTCGCGTTAAACTTCTAAAAGGGCACCCCATTATCAGCTTTGCTTAACCAAAAACAAACAGTGAAGCCAACCGCCGATGGCGTTGATAGTGATCACGTATGTCTCCATTACCAGGTGCACTGCCTAATGCTTCTAAGAACTCCGTCTTGATCTTATAACAATACTTAAGAGCATGCTCCCCGGGGGAACTTCCTACTCAGATGTGTTTTAAGGAATGTGCCACACCTGCTGCTGGCCACGCGGCCTCTGATCAGGTGACCAAGAGGACAAATTAAGGGTGAGCGTCACAAATGACTCTCAACCAAAAAATAGACTTAACTTTTGGATTACAATTTCTGCTTACTTTGACGCTTGACTCCCCCCTCCCCCAAATCAACAGTAGACTACTAAATGTAACATTACACCTGCTTTATAAAAATAGATTAATTGTAATGTTTTATACCAGAGATTTCATTATTGAGAACTTTTTAGACATATCCTGACTGGATATAGACCAATTTTTTGTGAAGTAACTCTCAGGTAGGTGTGGCCATGCGTTCCATGTGGGTTCCAACTGTTCTCTCCTTACACCTACGTATACCACTCACTAGGCAGCCCAGGGTGGAAGTCTAGCTGACCAACCCAACTGGAGCCAACCCTCTACCAGGGCCACAGATTGACCTTTCACACGATATTCACAGATCTGTCTTTAGATAAATAGACGGTCATTTTACTATCTCTGGCTTTTCCCCCTTTTCCCTACACAATCTTGTGATGTAATAAATCTGTCACCCAGGCAGAAGGTAACTAGAACCCATGAGGCACCCATAACCAAGCAAGCATATAACTTAATGTCAACCCACACTGGTCCCATAGGACACCCGTAACCAAACAAACATAGCATTCAGTGTAGACCCACATTGGTCCCATAGGGCACCCGTAACCAAACAAACATAGCATTCAGTGTAGACCCACA